AAAATATGTGGTCATCTTTTGATATGTTTATATTAGTTTATTAATTGCAGTAAACATTATGAGGTGTGAATTATATTGTATATGTTATTTTTTGGATTATATTCGACACTATTTTTCTCATATGACACAACACTGATGAAGGCTATAGTTAGCCGAAACGTTTTTTTAAACCAAATAAAAATAATGAAAACCCAAATGAAAGCTTAAATCAGCGTTTTTCCCGAACCTAAAAATCCCAAAAAAATTTTAGAATAATTTTACATATAAAATGCCAGCGATCTTCATTTCACAGCCATCGCTGACGCCTTTTTTTAGATAATATTGTATTATTTGTAAATATAATTTTTCGAACATTGATACTTGCAAAATATACATATAAATTTTGTGAATGCAAATAATAATACATCATTATTAGTAGATATTGAATGTTTTTGTTAAATTAGATCGATTTTCAAACCCAAAATTTAAAATATATTTACATTTTACCCATTATCTTATGTACCTATACATTATTTGTACATTGTAAAACATTTGCTGCATTTGTATGGTTCATAGTTTATTTGCCAAAGTATTTATTACTATAAATAGGTATATATGTTGTAGTTATTAACTGTATATTATGTATATTTCATGTAAACTATATCATTTTTAAAATACAAACCAAAAATCTGAGGAATAATTATGTTTCCATGTATTCTACAACATATTTATTAATCCGTTATATCTAACTAGCGTGACGTCATAAATCTCGCCCGTAGGCTGATCTTTTAATAGAGGGCACTGATCCAGCTACTGTAGCTATTAAAAGAAAATTATTCAGTGTAGCCGTTGAGGGTTTTAAACACTCAAAAATATATTCAATTTTCTTTATACTATGGAGTATTTCAATAATATTTACTGACCTATTTCTAAGAGGACGTCACACTCGGCTAAGTATTTAAGTATCGCGGAACATTAAGTTCTCTATTAAATTAAAAAGCGCCGCTCCGGTCAAATTCGTGCACGCCTTTTTTTTATTTCTTTCTCTCTGTTTAATCGGATAACCTATAAATTAAGTAGAAAAATTGTTGGGTAGATATAACTAGTGTATATATATATCGGCGGATATAATAATAACCGAACGGTATTATAGGTAACCGTTTCATATTCTACACAATTATTTTACCTTTGATCAAGTTCAGTGATGACGGTAATTGAAATATCAAGTTGTTTGTTGTAAACTAAGCCGGATCTTGGTTTTGAGGAATGATTTTTAGTATTTTTGACAGAAATTTCCAGAGATATTCGTTGTTAATGTTGCGGAAAATGGGAAAATGCTGATTAAAGCTTTATTCAGAACTTCTCAATTAGTGGAATAAATTAGTTGTTTTAATTACACTTTATACTTTTTAGTTTTCGATCATTTACAATGTCTAACAAACACAATTAAAATTAATAGAATATCCTAGCAACAGTTTGCGGTAGTCAGTTGTATTCATAGAGAATGTTGAAGTATAATTATTAGTCGAAAAGTTATAGTCCAGTCAGTGGGGTGTTTTGCCATACAAAAGGTGGTATAGTAGTATTTTTTTTTATATGTTGTTAAGGTTTGGGTCTTGACAAAAAATCCAAGTTTTCGACCTTGGGGTGGGACCGCTCGAGCCGCCATCTTGGATAGAAGGTACAGCGACGAAAAGTTGAACATATTTTCCAAAAAATAGAAAAACTCCCCAATTTTGTAATTTTTCCGAAATTCTCGCTATTTTTTACATAGGTATAAACAGCAGCGGCTGGTGAGGTAGTGCCACGGTGCCACGGAGCGAAAAAAAAATATGTTATAACCTTCATATGCCTCATTGAAATATAACGCACAACATAAAAAAACTGAAAAATAAGGTAGTGCCATGGCGATTTATTAGCGTTTTCTTTTCTTTGATGGTCCGGGTCGGTTATTAATAACGTTTTGAGTATTGTTTTCGGTGTCATCGTAATTGGTGCTTATGGGAATATATTGCTATTCCATTGTTAAGTCTTGGTCATCTTCGTCCTGAATGTCGATGTGAACCTCCGGGACATTTTTGCATGACTGACCACTGCAGAAGCTACATACAACGTAACACTTCAACCCAGCTGTCCTGCAACCACATGCTGCGCCGCATCCTTTTCTACAAGTGCAAATGAATTTCAATAAGTTGTCGGGTGCTGCTTGTTTTGTTATGGTGAGTGGAACAAGCCCATTGCTGCCCAGTTTCCAGCCCCAGTCTTCAGGTTTTTTCCCGATTCCATACCATATCTGGACTTGATGATATGTCCTGAAAGAATGATACCTCGCAGCATCCTTCGTTGGTGGCAATGAAGCAAGAAAGGATTTACTTTTTGTGGTTGATCTAGCAAAACGTTGGTAGCGGATTTCTTCTAAGGTGTCTTCTTCCAAGTTGCCACCATACAAAGCAACGAAAAAGCGTGCTGCAGCATCTGAGATGCCCTCTGTTGTTGCATCCTGATGTTTAAAAATGCCAATGGTGTCACTCCTGCTGTCTTCTGGAGAAGGGAACAAAACTTCATTTTTCCTTGGTCGAAGATTGACGATGTCGCGTCACAGCCACTAAAAGCATGGAGAAACAGAATGTTCTCAGCTACTTTTTCATGTTTTAAACTACTAGCTGAATATATTCTTTCAGCAATTTTGCCTTTTCCCGGTTTGCGGAGGTAGATGTTTCCTTGAGACGGTAGCAATGCTGTCAGCAAAACAAGAAGGACAACGTCTTCGCCAACTACGAAAACAGCATCAAATTTTGAGCACAATGAAATCGCTGTTCTGACAATCAACACATCAGCATCTTCTTCCGCCTGGTTGACCGTAATAGCAGCCTGCTCCATTTTTTTTGGTGGGCATCGAAATTAAACGGCCTTTATTGTTTTCATAGGCTAAAAATAATTCCTAATAATTTCTAATAATTTTCGTTATCTGCAAAACATCCTTCGCCCTTTTTGCTAATTCAAGATGGCGGCTCGAGCGGTCGCACCCCAAGGTCAAAAACTTGGATTTTTCATCAAGACCTAAACCTTAACAACATATTAAAAAATTACTACTACTACACTGATTGGACTAAAGTTTGGTAACTGTTTCCGCTAATTGAAAATTCTTACCACTAATTTTGACGTTCTGAATGCAAACAACTGTTCTGAATTCAAATTAAAGGAACAAACTTCTACGCTAATTGAAACAAAACTATTTTATTCCACTAATTGCGAGGTTCTGAATGAAGCTTTCACGATCATTCAAAATGTCTATAAAATATAATTAAAATTAATAGAATATCCTAGCAACAGCTTAAGGTAGTTAGTTGTATCCATAGAGAAAATTAAAGTATTTTTCTGTATTGAGGGATTTTTGAAATATTAAATATACCGTTGCAACTTCAGGGAAAGGTTGAGCCCTATACTTCCTTTACAGTCTCGAAGAATTTACGACAGTCGTCCGAATTGAGTCTATAGAATTAGCTAGAGTATTCATAATAAATATATCTCTAGAAAATACAAAAATGCTTTCCTACATTATTATATTACTCACAGTACCGATATCCAGCAAAATTTAATCAATATTTTAATTATTATACCATGAAACAGGTATAGGAAATCGACAGCAATAATTTTTCAGCATAATAATAATCTTATTTTTAAACAATTTCATAGACTCGTGACGACCTGTTTTCTCACTAATTGTAAAACACAATTTATTGTTATGGGTTTTCGTTGCGCTTATTATGAACAATACTGTTTTGGATAAAACATACACCGAAAGAACAAAATACTTCGTCTCAATAAAATTGGAGTTACTGAATTAACGAAGTTCCTCGTAAGTAGAGACCCCGTATATTGAAACAAACTTTTTATTACCTTAAACTATACCGGGTGTTTCTCAAAAGTGCCTCACCCCCTATAACTTTTTTATTTTTTCAGATAAATAAACGAGATTTGGTACGATAGTATACACTACAGATTGATTGACATATTCAATTGTCTTTCGTTACTTTCTCGTTTTACCAGAAATTACTACAAATTTTGATTTTTAAATGACATTCTCGGAATTTTTTTACTTTATTCGATTAAATATACTTTATTATTATTTTTACTTTATTCGGTAAAAACATATTTTTCCGTAACAGTAGCCTTTATTTATAGATTAAATATAAAACCCATTAAACAATAAAATATTTTTACGATATTGTTGGAAAAATTAAATGGCGCAATATTACACCCCCCCCCCCTCCACATTGAGATTTGTAATATTTTTTTATTTGGTTTTAACAGCACAAGTAGTTATTTCTTCATTTTGGAGATAATGAAGCATTTAGTCTTCCCTGTGGTATTTATTGCTTATCAATTTATTACCGTTTTTTGTTTACATGGACTACCAAATCAAACAGGTTAGTTTTCAGAAATCTTACTTACACATTTGACAATCAAATTAACACTAAATACCAGAAAGATTTAAAAAGGATAGAGCCCCCCCCCCTATTTCAAGACACAAATCTATTTCAGTTCTGTCCACCATATATGTCCACCACTATTGCCGGACCCTGTATATACGTACACAAGCAAAGCTTCCTGACACAAGCCAAGAATAAGGCTAAGCTTAGGCTAAGCATAAATTAAAAAAAAAAGAGATTTTTAGACTATAAAAACTTCATAATTTACAGGTGGGTCTATTTAAAAGATATTCTAGGATATCGACGTTAGGCAACTCAAAATACACGGAGTAGTTCTTTTAAAACTTTTGTTTACTTTCTTCTTTCTTTTTCTACTTAACCTCAATGAACAAAGCAGGAATTTTTGCAAAATGAATAGAGGTGGGCCAGTCTGCGATTTTTGTGGAGCTGCTACGCTCTGCGACTGCTCCAATAAAAGCACTGTGACAAGTAGCAGCGATTTTTCGGAGCAATTAACCTATAAATTAAAAATGTAGTTTTATAGGTTAATTGCTCCGAAAAATCGCACTCGGTGTTCGGCACCGTTCGTTGCAAGAATATGGATCGGCTGGTCAACACTCAAAGAGAATGATTGCAGTTCTCCGAATCCGCCACTACTTGATCTCGATTCAATAAAAAAGGTCGTGGAATATGAGTTACTTAAAAATTCATCAACACTATCCCAGCCAAAGAAAAGAGAGATAAAGGAATGTGGGCCAAAGTTTATAAGAAAAGGTAAATAGAATATATATCTTAATTATTTTATAAACACTTTAAAGTTGAACTAATGCAGATTCCTACAAGAGACGTATTCCACCCCATCTTTGGACTAAGGAGTCGTTTAAGCATGGTATTTGGCCCGCTCCTGATTTTTGCCTTATTTATAAATATAATGTAGATCAAGTGATAATATCTACCAACACATCAATATCACTTATTAAAGATTTTGATTCGAAAGAGCTCTATGAGTGGATGTTACATAGTCCAACTGCCAATGTCGTAATAATTGTGGTTCATGAAAAATGGTAACTTAAGTTGTCGTGGTTAAAGTTTGAGGTGTTAAAGTTTTTGATTTATTTTCAGGCCCGAAAAATTAACTGAAAAAATTAACGAAGCATTTAGTAAATCATATGTTTTGGTATGGGACTGGTCGATGTATACCTACAGTTCATTCCTTTTTACAGAAAAATTGGTCGGTGAAAGGTTGTCTCAATGGATTCTCAATCTAGGCATACCGGGTGATAAAATTACAATAATTGGTATGAAAAATATTTTTTTGTTATAATTACTATTCCTATTAATATTTGTCATTTTTAAATGGCACCCTCGGTATTTTTTTTCTCTATTTGTTAGAAAATGACACTCTGAATCGAATGACATATCATATTATGTCAACTTTTGACATTTTCGCATATAGTTTATTTGAAATTGTAACATGCAGTTCATAACGACAATAATTTGACTCGAAATACTAAGTATGTGGTACCAGATTATTCAAATAAATGCTTTTTCCAAATATGGTAATGAGCCACCCTTGTTCCATTTGAAAAAATTGAGATATGTTTAAAAATATATGATTTGGGCATCTTTTAACTGGCCAGGTCAAGACACGAAAAACATTAGAAGATGAAATATATTTTTCCAAGTCTCCTTGACTAAAAATTTGTGTTTTTAACACGGCCATGGCACTCTAGATTGAAATTTAAAATACGATTTTTTTAAGCGAAATTGTCAAAAGTTGAGTTCCATATGATATCTCATTCTATTCAGAGTGTCATTTTCTATCGAATAAAGTAAAAAAAAACGAGGGTGCTATTTAAAAATGAAAAGTTGTAGTCATTTCTGGTGAAACAGGAAGTGACCGAAAACAATTGAATACATATACTTAAAATAAAATATAGACTGAGCATCTCATTCATAAATAGCTGGAACATGCGGTCAGACACTGTCTTGTTATTGTTGTGTTATTGTTTTAGGTTATAACGAGTGCGACACGAGCGATAGATAGGTTGTCTCTGTCGTAACGGTCGTTCCCTGACGACTCTGCCGAGAAACACAACACTGTCTTTCGTTTACCGTACACCTGAACTCCGTACACCTGAACTCTACACTTTACCGTACACCTGAACTCTCCGTATCATAGCCGGGTAATTTTTTTATTTTAATGAAGCTATAATTAAATTAAAAATATATCGTATTTAAACTTTTTTATATTTTATTAAGATTTAGGACAGGTTTTTTAAATAAAAGTTTAGATAAAACCATTTAGAGTCCAAAAAGGATAAAAATAATAAAATACACGTTATAGAAGAAATTTTATAATCGAAATTAGGTAATTTTTGAAATTAATAATAAATTATTAATTTTAGTCAAACATTACAACTATAATATTAATCAAAACAGGATCTATTCCACAGATATAATAGAATCGGCGACAGGGAGAGAGAAAAAAAATATGATTGTTGTAATTTTTTTTCTGGTTAAGTGATGTCTTATTATGTAAATTAGAGAAAACATAAATCTGTTCCATTAAAGCAAAGGAAGGTGATAGGAAGTGGATAAAATAAAACTACATTTATTTAACTTCGGTACTGTCTTTATTATACCGGGTGCGTCTCAAAGTGGCTCTTCCCCATAATTTTTTTATATTTTCAAATAGAAAAACAAGATTTAGTATGTTAGTATATGAAATAAATTAGGATTGATTGACGCATTCAATTGTTTTGGTCACTTCCTGTTTCACCGGAAATGACTATAACTTTTAATTTTTAAACGGCACCCTCGGTATATTTCTACTTTATTCGATAGAAAATGACACTCTGAATAGAATGACATATCATATGTCAACTTTTGACATTTTCGCATATGGTTTAATTGTAATTGTAACACGCGGTTCATAACGACAATTTGACTCAGAAATACCAAGTGTGTGGTATCAATATATTCATAAAAAAAAAAAAAAAATGCTTTTTCAAAATAAGCTAATGAGTCACCCTTGTTCCATTTGAAAAAATTGACATATGTATGATTAAAAATACGATTTGTACATATTTTAACCGACTTAGACAAGACACGAAACCTATTAGACGATCAAAACTATTTTTCCAAGGCTCCTTGATTAAAACTTAGTGTTTTTAACAACACCATGGCACCCTGGATTGAAATTTAAAATACGATTTGTTTTTCAGCGACAATGTCAAAAGTTGACATATGATATGTCATTCTATTCAGAGTGTCATTTTTTATCGAATAAAGTAGCAATATACCGAGGTTGCCTTTAAAAATAAAAAGATGTAATCATTTCGGTGAAACAGGAAGAGACCAAAAACAACTGAATACATCAATAAATCCTAATTTATGTCATATACCTATAACATACAAATCTGTTTTTTTTATCTGAAAAAATAAAAAAGTTATAGGGGGTGAGCCACTTTTGAGACGACCCGGTATATTAAAAAATATTGTTTCATAATGTAATATCAATTTAAAATTCTTGTATGTTATTTTATATGCTCAAGATAATTTTAGAATAAACCATATTTTTAATAAAATCATTATTAATTATTAACAGGGTTATAATTATGACTTTGTTACAATGTAAGTAAGTAAATAATGTAATGAGAAAAAATTCAGATTTTACATTTTACTAAAATATTATCTAAATAAGCGCCTTTCTACAACAACGCCACTGGCTCCCAATGGGCAAATTGAGAGTTGTCTACCGGTCGAAAGTCGTTTCAAGACTTAAATGGATTATTTAAGTCAAATTTCTTGCAAATTTGGCACTGGCGAACCATATTTTATAGTTCTTGAACAGAAAAAGTCAATAAAATAAACACTTAAGGACTACAAACTAAGAAAATGCGTTAATACAGCCGGGGACATAGCGGCATCAAAGCTTTACCGCACACTTGCCACGCGTACTACAAGGTAATAAATGAATGAATAGGCTCCCTCGCCTCTAATCGGTGTTATCATATTGTAAAGAACTTATCCTTTTTAAACAGTATCCGACTTATAATTTAGTAGTATAAGGACTATTTAATACATCTATGGAATATTAAAACCTACTTTATTAAACTGTAGTATTAATATCTCAATATATGTGTATAACAAGAAAAAAAATATTGATAATATTAAAGACGTGACAACATAGGCTGGATGAGGAAGGCTCGGTCGACTGTACCCAGAAGTAAACATGTGTACAAAAAAGGTTGTTTGTCCGCATTGAGATGTAAATAGTGTAGTCTATATTTTATTTTAAGTCTATGATTGAATACGTCAATCAATACTAATTTATGACATACAGGGTGTCCCAGGCTGAGCGTTCATTAGAAGTTTCTAGAGAACCGCAATATCTGGATCGGAGATTTTTTGCACATCATTGTTTTACAACGAGATCTATTGATTAAAAATATTTTCAATATGGCGGCACTTCCGGAAATACCGGAAGTTAACAGCAACTTTCTTATTTTAAATGGGTGCCCCTATTTTTTATTACATAATTAAATTCTCTGTAAAATTCTATGAATCTTGATGTTAAGCACTCTATACCTAACATTTACCGTTTTTAAGAAAAAAAATATTTAAAATTTTTGGATGAAAAAAACTACCTGACAAAAAAAATGTGTATAGCCTAAAAGTTGCCTAAAAGTCAAATTTAGTGATTACCACAGCTACTGTGACATAAAGAGAAGACATTTGGCTATCTCATCACAGTCCGATATGTGCGTTTGTAGTGAGTAGACGTGAATCTCAGCTCCGACAATATTATTTACTTTTCAAAGTTATTCTTACAAACAAGTTTTTTTTTTCTCTCACACTCGGCCAGTTTATTTGTTTTGTTAAATTTGAACTAAGAATTGTGATTTACAATGGTATTTACGGAAAGACAAAAAACAGAATTGGTATGCATCGTGAAGGCCGTTTCTCAAAAAATCATAGAGATTTTTAATGATAAAAAATTTATGGAATCAATAGCAGCAAAGGTAGCAGACATGGTGGCCCAAAAAATTGACGAGCGAATGCAAATTTTTGAAGCAAGGATCAGTGAGTTGGAAAATAAATTACACAGTGTGCAAGTTGAAAAGGATGAGCTATTTTGTAAAACAGATAATATGGAACAGGTTTTAAAACTAAACCAGCTTTGTTTACATGGGCTCCCAGAAGAGGAAAATGAACTAAATAACTGTGTCTCCGAAATTATCAAAAAGCGTCTGGACTTGCCGAATATTGAAGTCGAACAATGCTATCGTATTGGTAAACATCCAATAGACTAGTCAAGATTTCGTACAGTGATTTTAAAATTTCTGTCTACTAGTCAAAGAAACCTTGTCCATTTGAGGAAAAATAGACTTAAAAATACTAAACTTGCCATTAGTGAGCAGTTAACATCCTACCGGCATGGGTTATTAATGTTAGCCAAAGACAAACTTGGAAAAGACAAAGTGTGGACCATGGAGGGTAGAATATTTGCCAGGGTTGATGGGAGAAAAATCTGGATTCGAAATGAGGATGATATAATTAAAAATTAACAACTGTTAGTGGGGAGTCTATTCTATTCAACAATATCTTCTTTATATTTTTTTTGTATTTTCAAATACTTCTAATATAAATATATATTTTTTTTTACTTATTTCTGTTAAATTGTTATTTCTTTAGGTAGTATAAGCAAAGTATAAGCTAGGAGGAAAGAGAATGAAAACACTGAGTATCTCATATTTAAACGTGCGCTCGTTATTGCCGCATTTCGCAGACTTGAAGAATTTATTATTGGAAAAGTCTTTTGATATTTTGGGCATTTCAGAAACATGGCTGACTCAGGGTATATACTCTGTTTTTTTTCTCAGGTAAGATTTCGACAGACGATGTCAGAAGAAAAGCAGATGACGTCCCATACCAATCTATTTATTTTACTAAAAAAGTTTCTAATAATTTTTAAGTTAACTATGGATGGGTTTAAATATAAATCCGTCATACGTCGTCTCTTGTTGTTTTTAACCAGTTTTATTGGTTTATTTCAAAAATGACAGATCGTATTTCAATTTTATTGGTTTGACGGAACGATGAACGACAAACGGATGCCGATGCGTATGAACTCGCCTTTAGATTTTTGACGCTTGTCAAAGTCTTGCTAAATTGTAGGTTATAATTTTGTGTCAACTTTTGTCAAATACCCTGCGTTTTGGAAGATGATGCATTTTGATTCGTGTTATTACGTGTGTTTTGTGTCTTTTGAAGTCAAGTGGAGGAAAAATCAAGTGAAAATTAACTGTAGACCCAGAGCACAGTTTATGGTTAATACTCGCTGCCCAGGCAGAAAGTCTTATACACCAATAAAGTTACCATCAATAAAGTTCGTATACCATCTCGTCGTAGATAAGTGCATCTCGAATATGGTAGAAGGACCGTACTAAACACATACTAAAAACTGGAGTAGCTGTAAAATATCGACATCACACGATAGGTAAATAATGGATTTTAGTACTGCAGAAAAATAATATCAAAAGGTACTGGTTTAAAAAAATTAAGATTAAAGTTAAGTAATCAACCTTTAAGGTATAAAATTTGGTAAGTGTTATTACTAATAAAATAGTTTGTTTTATTTATGTTGTTTTATTTATTCTTGTAGAATATTAAAAATTTGTATTTGTACATAAGTTATATAGATAAATATAATCGTAAATGCGGGAAGTTTTATAAAGCTTGAAAGTAAGAAATAGTTCTTTTTTATATTTTTTTTCGGTATCTGGTGGTGTTCTTGTTTGTTTTGTATTAACACATACCGTTTTTTATTAAATAAAATAACTCGATTACATTTTTTCAGTTTTATACAGTTTTTTTCACAATATTTTAAAGTAATCACTTGTCAGTCAAATTTTAAATACATTAATTTCCTGCTATGCGTTCCAGTTGTACCAACTTATTTCTTTGTAAAATAAAATAAACTACTTTGAAAAAAAATGACAGACACATCTATCACTGTCAAGGATCTTCTCGTTGGACAGACTATACCTAGTGACCATGTTCAAATTCCAGGATATACGTTTCTTAGAACAGACAGAGATATGAGAGGTGGTGGAGTGGGTATGTATTTTAAAAATAATTTTAAATATGAAGTTCTAACATCAAAGCAATCAGAAAGTTTGGAACAATTATGGATAAAATTTAAATTTAATAATGTAGTATATATTTTTGGATCAATCTATAGACCGCCAAAGGGACATTTCTTGGATTTTATGAATGAGTTAACACATACCGGTTTTATTAAATAAAATAACTCGATTACATCTTTTCAGTTTTATACAGTTTTTTTCACAATATTTTGAAGTAATCAGTTGTCATCTTGTCAATCAAATTTTAAATATTTCCTGCTATGCGTTCCAGTTGTACCAACTTATTTCTTTGTAAAATAAAATAAACTACTTTGGAATTAAAATGACAGACACATCTATCACTGTCAAGGATCTTCTCGTTGGATAGACTATAGAAGCGGTGAGGAGGGGAGATGTCATATGTCCAGCTAGTCCGGTGCGTCTGTGAGACGGAGTGTTAGTACTTAAGGGTTAAATTGATGAAACTTCTACACCTGGTATCTCGAAATCTATGTATTTTAGGACATACGTTTATAAGAACTTATTTACTTTTTTTATTCGCAGAATATGCTGCCGAAGTTTCCGGAGTACAGTTCGGACCACCCTGTATATTAACTTTATATTTTTTATATTTTTATTGTATTTTTTTGCATTCTTCTCATTTACTTCTTTTGTCTGAAACAGATCACTACCTAATATCTCCGAAATACTGGCCAGTCGAGATTATAGAGGTAGGTGAGGAATGGCCAGCAGTGGATTTCGCTATAGCAGAGCCTTACGATGCTAACAACGTGAGCATTAAGTTTTACAAACCGACTCACGAAGTCATTGCTTTCGATGTGAGCAGTCCTAGGTCGATCAGAAGCGTGGTGCAAGGTGTAGCGCATTTTTTTATCATAGTAACCGAAGAACCTGCTGAAAAATGGTAAGTGGCTATTTTTACTGGAAATAGCATATTAAAATAATTTTTTTTTATTTCACCAATTATGTTGATCGCTCCGTGTATGAGTGTTATGGTGCGTTTAGACTTGAGCACGCACGCACTGATCCTTCGCGAATGCTCAAGTGTAAACGGCTGTGCGCGCACGCTCACTCTGAATATGCCGCGAACGTGAGCCGTCCGGTGTCGGTTTTTGGTCCCTGCTCAAAGGAATTTTATGTGTGCGCGAACGCTCAGTTTGCACCGACAATTTGTTTTGTCTGCATTCGTGCGTGCGTGTGTGATTTTTTTTCGTTCTTTTTATTAAAATTATGGAGTGGATCAATGAATTTTCGTTATTATTAATTGAAGAATATGAAAAGTTGCCGATATTATGGGATGTTAAACATTCTTCGTATTATTAAAAAACCAAAAAAAAATGACGCATGGCAAGACCTTGTAAATAAAATTAATATTCAACATGTCGATATTAATGAAATTGCTATTCTAAAATTTGTATCTTTTGTTCGTAATTTTTGGTGTTGGTTAGGTTAGGTTAGGTTGTATTGTATTGTATTGTATTTGACTAAGAGTGGGTCCCGTAGGGGACCCTCCACTGAGGCCGCGAGGGCCTATTGTGGCTCAGTTTCTACAAGCTCTAATTTACAAGAGCGTCAAAGTTCATCCTCAAGACCCAGCCTCTTAATATAAGCCGTTATGTCTGAGGGCGATATGTCTCCTAGGTCTGATAGGTCTAGCATGGGTTTGCCAAACATCTCAAACCTGGTCCTGCGGGGCAGGTACACATAACGTGCTTCATTGTTTTATCATCTTCCATACAGAGTCGGCATTCGGCGTCTTCCACCAGTCCCGTCCTCTGTAGGTGAGATCTCAGCCGGCAGTGGCCCGTGTACACTGCAGTGAGCACACGCGTTCCATTCCTACCGGCCTTTAGGAGTTCTCCTGTTCTATGTTTGGATGGCCCTGCTAGGATTTTCTTGGCATGTTCCATTCCGGGACTGTCATTCCAGTCCCGGAACGTCGCACCCCTAACCCATTCACAGAGCCTGTCTCTTGCGAGATTTTTAGGAACGCTAAGTGTCGGTTCTGGGCCCACGAATGGCGAGCCTGCACCAATTTTGGCGAGGGAATCAGCACGTTCATTTCCCTCTAGGCCGACATGTCCCGGTATCCATATTAGCGACACTTTGTTTCTATCTCCCAGTATATTGAGTAGTTTCTTACAATGAAGAATCGTCATTGACGTGCTTTTCGTTGCCTCAAGTGCTTTCAGCGCAGCTTGACTATCCGAAAATATGCATATTGTTTTCCCGGTGTATTGCTGTTCTACCAGCAGTTGCACACAAGTTTCAATAGCATATAGCTCAGCTTGGAAGATCGTGGTGTGTTTTCCAAGACTGTGGTAGATCTCAGTCTTTGGACTGCTGCAGTAAATTCCTGCGCCAGATCCTTTTAGGTTAGGTTAGTCATATTATTAAATTTTGTAAATATTCAAAGTCGGGCCTGGTCATTCTTGTAAAGTTTTTGAACTGATCATAGCCCCCCTCAGACACTAAGTCGTTGCAGTAAATTATATCGATTTCTAAAAATATGGGTTTGCCACCAGCGACGATGTTTTCGATTTTTCTTCTTTTTAATAATTAAGCTGTGCAACAATGACTTCAGCCCCGACTATTTCTTGGTCGTCCATTATTTTCGCGAACACAACTCTGCTGTGCCCGCACAAGTGGACCACTTCATTCGTCGAAAAATAAGTTTTTAATTTGAACGGAGCCGAGAGCGCGAACGAATGCCGTGCGCGCAGGCTCAGCTCGTGTGTGCTCAAGTCTAAACGCACCATTATGTAATTGATTTATTTCAGGGCTCATGACTTGAAGGATAAGTTACTCAAAGCATCCACCTCTAACTACGTCATTATCGTGGATTGGTCCATGTACGTTTTCAACTCGTACATGTTTACTGCTGCTTACTCTAAGAGAGTTGCTGATACGGTTGCTGCCTAGGTTCATATCAGTGAAATTCCATCAGCAAATCTGGAAATGATAGGTACTTTATATTTATTATTTACTATTCATTAGTTAGTTATTGACATTATACTCGATTTCGACAGACAATGACAGAAAAAAAAGCAGATGACATCCATACCAATCCATTTATTTCACTTGAAAAGTTTAACTATTTTTGCTAAGTTAATATGGATGGGTATATATCACCGGGTGCGTCTAAAAGTGGCTCACCACTATAACTTTTTATTTTTTCAGATAAAACAACGATATTTGGTATGTTAGTATATGACATAAATTGGTTGATTGACGTATTCAAATTGTTTTCGGTCATTTCCGGTTTCACCGGAAATGACTAACTTTGATTTAAATAAAGTTCGTCGCAAGCAGACGCAGGTGAACTATACATAAATTAAAAGTGTATGAATATGACAACAAAAATATTCAATAAATACGATATGTTTTGATATGTTTTTTTTTTAAATGCCTTTTTGAAGTTTGAAAACGTAAAATTTTTATACCCATTTAAGAATCATCTTAAAAAATTTATAAAAACTAAACAATCACGAATTTGTTTATAAATAAATTTAAAGTACATACCTTGTTTAACAATATCCATAGTGGCTTTCAATTAAGTACGTAACGTTTAACTCCATAATATACAGAACTACTATGAATGTTATTCTTTTCACTGATAAGATAATGATCGCAAAATTTATTTTTAGTGAAAATATTTGCTAATAAAAAACGCTGTTTATGAAAAATAATATACAGGATGTTTGAACATTGCTATAAGTATAAAATTACATATTCAGATATTAGTAAATTTTAACTTTTTTTTCGATTTTTGTCAATGGGACGTAGCACTGTGCGAGAGCGCGAACGAATGCCGTGCGCGCACGCTCAGCTCGTGCGTGCTCAAGTCTAAACGCACCGTTATGTAATTGATTTATTTTAGGGCTCATGACTTGAAGAATAAGTTACTCAAAGCATCCACCTCTAACTACGTCATTATCGTGGATTGGTCCATGTACGTTTTCAACTCGTACATGTTTACTGCTGCTTACTCTAAGAGAGTTGCTGATACGGTTGCTGCCTAGGTTCATATCAGTGAAATTCCATCAGCAAATCTGGAAATGATAGGTACTTTATATTTATTATTTACTATTCATTAGTTAGTTATTGACATTATACTCGATTTCGACAGACAATGACAGAAAAAAAGCAGATGACATCCATACCAATCCATTTATTTCACTAAAAAAAGTTTCTAATATTTTTAAGTTAACTATGGATGGGTATATATACCGGGTGCGTCTCAAAAGTGGCTCACCACTATAACTTTTTTATTTTTTCAGATAAAACAACGATATTTGGTATGTTAGTATATGACATAAATTGGGATTGATTGACGTATTCAATTGTTTTCGGTCATTTCCGGTTTCACCGGAAATGACTACAACTTTTGATTTTTAAATGGCACCCTCGGTATTTTTTTACTTTATTCGATAGAAAATAACACTCTGAATCGAATGACATATCATATGTCAACTTTTCACATTTTGGCATATGGTTTATTTGAAATTGTAACATGCGGTTCATAACGACAATTTGACTCAAAATACCAAGTGTGTGGTATTCGTTTATATTAATTAGAGTAGAAGGATAGAAAATTGACATAGAAATTTATCTTTTTTATTAGTAGAACTTAAATAAAAAAACTAAACTAATAACACCTACCCATAATTCAAATCAGAAGTAACAATTCACCAAAAAGTGCGTTCTGAGTTTCAAACGAATATTGATTTATTAGAAATTTAATTCTTCGATTGATTTCTCTATTTTTATTATTAGGTTATGCCACAAGTGGTCACGTGATTGGTTTGATGGGACCTTAGAGAGAACTACATCGTAGAACGGATGGTGGTGTTAGACCCAGCCCATAGGATGTGAAGCATCATTGAAAGTCAACATGCAATCGGCTAATCTGGTTCAAGTTATCCACACTAATATCGGATACTACGGATATTCTGATCCTTTAGGTCACTTTGACATATATGCTAACGACGGAATCTATCAACCGCATTGCAAGAGCGCAGAAAACGGTAAGTTTGTTGCAATGGCAATAATCTAGCATCTATTTGAAGGTGCTGTCCCAAAACTATTTGATCTTAAGCTTCATTCAGAACCTCGCAATTAGTGGAATAAATTAGTGGTTTCAATTACACTTTATACTTTTTAGGTTACGATCATTCACAATATTTAAAAAACACAATTAAAATTAATAGAATATCCTAGCAACAGCTTGCGTTAGTCAGTTGTATCCATAGAGAAAGCCTAATATTTAGCATATAAAACAATTAATTTTTGATTTCTAACCACAATTTCTCTTGACAGAAGATAATCAAAGGCCAACATGACATTTCTCGATAAATTTTGAAGTATAATTAATGGAAAAGTTAAAAGTTTGATAGCTTTTTCAACTAATTGAAAATGTCTACCACTAATTTTGACGTTCTGACTGCTTACATTGAAATTAAAGGTACAAATTTCTACGCTAATTGAAACCACTAATTAGGTTAATAGCATGGTACAAACAAAACAAGGTATGATCGATAGCGGCTCCAATTTCGTTTAGTTCGCGCATACCACCTGTGACGTCACTAGGAAAAAAACGAATAAATAAAAAATAAAGGAAGTTGACAGGAGATCCGCATTTTTTGTATTTTTTAGGGTTATGGTTAAGAATTGTTTATTTTTTTCTGACTTTTTAGTTCGTTTAATTTAATAATTACTAAAACCAGCAGTTTCAAAAATATATTTAAAAATAAAAGATAAAAATCCAAAATATTAATTATCTATTAACATGGATTTGGACGATAATAGGTAAGAATACTAAATTTATCTCTATATTGGGTATAAAACAGTTTATTAGGTTTTTAGTTTGCGATTTTTATGGGTAAATAATTTTCATGTTCATTGTTTCTGAATTGACATGAGGACAGAACGTTTGAAGTAACCACAAGAGGAATTGTTACATCATTTAAAAAATGTTGGGAAGTTGATTGTTTCCCATCGAAAAGTAGAAAATGCCAATGCAGATCAATGTATTGTAATTGTAATAGAAATAATTCCAAGGGTGAAGTTTATTATAATTAGTGGAAGTAATTCCAAGGGTGAAGTTTATTATAATTAGTGACCTGTGCTTCTTTTTATATGTAGATGTTTCAGGTTTTGAGAATAAATTGGTTGAACGAAACCCAAAATTTAGAGGAAGTATTGCAATCCAGAATATGGCCATCAAGGATTATAGCTCAAATTTCCTTAAATGGTAGGCAACTATTCAATACAAATTAACTTTTTAAGTGACTGAAATATTAAATACTTTTAGGTACAATTTAGGGCCCGATACATTTCAAAAAGTAGAATATTTTTTTTTATAATAAATGAGGTATTGTACCAACAATCAATTTAAATTAATAACGGAGATTAAAAAATAACAGAATAAATAGTTATTTTTTTATACTACAAATAAACTATAGAATAAAACAGTATTTAAAAAATTAAATAAAAAAAAATGTCCCGGCCGAGATTCGAACTCCGGCCTCTTGCTTCCTAACCTGACTCTTCACGCACTGCTCCACAGTAACTTGTTTAGCGATAGTTCAATAACGGTATATCAACAAAAAAACAGGTTCATTACAATATCTTGACGATTTGAATTGGTGCGCGGAGCGTGCTGACCAATAGCGCCTGTTACCACCTGTGACGTAGCGACCAACCTGCGCAGTATCATAGCTTGTATTCTTTGTACCATGGGTTAATAGTCGTTAATTAGATTAATAGTAGTTAGTTAAAAATAGTTAGATTCTGAATGAAGCTTTACAGTATTTATAGTATGTTGGAACCTTTGGTGTTACACAGCAAAATAAAACACTAACAACCTAAACAATACACCAAATCACTTTTTACTCTTACACTGGACGCGTGTTTCGTTAACTATGGTTGCATCATCATCAGCTTTAATCATCTGCTGATGATGCTAACATGGTTACGTCCAGTGTATAAGTAAAAAGTGTTTTGGTGTATTGTGGTGATTTAGTGTTTTGTTTTATTTTGATGTTAACGCCCCTTTAAATTTATTTAAGAGAAATTTTGAACATTGTCTAGACATTTTTATGTTATTTGTGGTCGAGATATAGAATTTAAATCTTGGTTTACTGATTTTCGCCCTTGAAATTTGCCTTGAAATTTGAAAAAAAGTAGTACCTATAGTAATCGGAAAACCGTATCTTTCTATCTCTACTCATAACCGAGAAACCACATAAAATACACGAAAATGGGACACCCTGTACAGTCTAAATTAATGAAAATATTTTATTTGAATTGTAATTTTCAACTAATTTATTTTGTTGTAGTTAACAAGTGTTCTCATATGGCTGCCGTTCAATATTACATGGATTCGATTAAAATTCGCGCTCAAGCCAGAGAAACAGAGTACTATAACGGTACTTTAACGTCTGAGGGTAAAGCATACGTCGACTTTGGTTATTGGTTAACTTCGTATACAAAATACAAACCTGGAGTTTACAGGTTGGACACTAATGAGGATTATCACTACTTAAACGGATGTAAGTTTTCTATTTTTTTTTTAGTTATAGTCCAATAATTGATTCTTATAAAGTTTGAATATTTGTCATGCTAATGATTTTCTTTAAACAGTTATAGAATTATTTTATTTTAAACGACTTTACTGAATAAACCGGAAGGTTTCGTTATAGGAACATGATATATCCTTATATGGTTGAATTATTAAAATAAAAAATATTTCAGCAATTTTATAATTTTTTTTTATCTCCCTGTGTGATATCCAATCAGCTGCTTCAGATAGATCGAATATATCGACTTTCCTTAACATACATATAACTTAAATTTCAACTTTAAAATTGCTCAATACATGATTTTACCAATTCTTTTTCAAGATCATGTTTTTGTCACTTTTACATATGTTGTATTTTTTATCCCGAACACTATTAGAGACATAGGTTAGATTAATAAAAAAAAACTATGATATATATATATCTACCGGTTGTTCCGCTTAAAATAACAAAGATACCATTACTTTTCAAATGATACGGAAGACACTGTAACAGTGAAAACTTAAGACACCACTATATAACTATTATATCCCCTTTTTCAGTTTTATAGCGGTAACTCGATAGGATATATAAAGGTGTTGAGAAAGTTTTCAGGACTTTGGTTGCACACCTTGAGTGTTAAGGGTTACCATAGGAACAGTTATAAAATGGACCGTTTAGGGCATATAAGTGTTATATAATGGTTACCTACCAATAACTCACGACAACCATTCTAGATGCGTTTAGGTTGTATAATATGGTGTTGGGAAGTTTCCTAACACACTTATAAAACAAAAAATGCTTCTTGGGCTACCACCTGAATCACCAGCGGGAAATTTATTAGTGTACAACCAAAGTCCAGTTAGTCAGCCCGGCAACGAATATGTTGCCATGGCTGGCAACAATGAATTTAAAAATTGCGCCCTTGATTACGTAACTAAAAGTTTAATTGGTATCAAATATATCAAGGTTTTCCAAACGACTATCCTGTATAAACAAAATACCAGATAAAAGATGATAGTTTGGTTTAGAGAGAATTGTTTTACTTTAACACCACTTGTTATTGTCATTGTTTTAAATTGTCATATTATTTTTAGACGTTGATCTGTCTGAAGACGATCTTGTTATGGAACCAACGAAGTTCTCAACTCGACTCGCTACATCCACAGAGATTTCAGACAAATCGTTTTTAGCGGTTTTTCTAACTATGTGAAAACAGAGTTTAGCGTGGAAAGTCCTCTGTACAGGATACCGTTACCTGCCACATGGTTTAATGTCTATGATGGCGGCCAGGTGTTTATTAGTTTAGACATTGAAGAAAAAACCGGCCTTGAATGGTATTGACTTGTAAAATATGTTTCTTTTTTCAAACGCCACAAAAGTATTAATTTTTGCGACGTGGTTGACAATATAAAAAAATCATTTTAACGCCTAGGCATAAAAGTACGAAAATATATTATTAAACTGACATAAATTGTCAAATTTAACGAGCGTAACCATAGTTTCTTGATATACAATTACATACAGGGTATGACTTTTAAATATTTTTTATATTATTTGGAACGTTTGAAATTGTTTTAAAAATTATTTGTGGCGTTTGAAAAAAAAGCATGTTCTATTAGGAGTAAAAATAACTTTTTACGCCTCGGCTGTATGCCAACCGTACCGCCTCGCCCCGAAATATGTCATTTTTACTCCTAACTAAGCAATATACTATTTTTTTTAAATTTAAGTTTATATATTCTTGCTTTAGGATGGATATATTGAAAGACACAATATTAACAAACGTACCGAAAAGCATGGTACTCGGTTTTACTTGGATGACGTATAAGTTTGGTTATAAGGTCGATTCGGAACTTGCCAGACCAATAGGAGAGACTATAGCGGATATTTTAACAATTATGTTTAGCACATATGTGCCACATGACAAAGTTCACATAATAGGTAAATTATTATGAATGATCAATCTTTATACAATTTTGCACTACAGGTATTTTTATTTTTTTTTTCAATTTGGTTTCAATTTCCTAAAAATCTCATATTTCAAATTCAGAGAGAGAGAGAGGTTTTTGGACGCCCCCCTTAGTGAAACTAACAACTAAGTTTAAAACATTTAAATAAAATCCTGGTTTTAGGTCATTCAATAGGAGCCCATGTGGGTGGTTTTATTGGGAAGATACTAAAACACTGACGGCACTGGATCCTGCTGGACCCTTGTGGGTCGACGAATTAAACCAAGATAGATTGACCCATAAGGACGCCAAAATGGTAGATGTCATTCATAGCGACGTTAACTGGTACGGATATCCCACGAGCATCGGCGATGTAGACTTCTATGTCAACTTTGGAGGCATACAACCCAACTGTGAAGGCAAGTTATACCACCAAGTCTAAAGCTTCATTCAGAAAATCGCAATTAGTGGAATAAATAGTAGTTTCAATTACACTTTATACTTTTTAGTTTACGATCATTCACAATGTTTCAAAAACACAATTAAATTTAATAGAATATCCTAGCAACAGCTAGCATTAGTCAGTTGCATCCATAGGGAAAGCCTAATATTTAGCTTTTAAAGCAATCAACTTTTGATTTCTAACCACAATTTCTCTTGACAGAAGATAATCAAAGGCCAAAATGACATTTATCGCAAATTTTGAAGTATAATTAGTGGAAGTATAATTAGTAGAACGAAAGTTAAAAGTTTGGTAACTTTTTCTATTGAAAATGTCCACCACTAATTTTGACGTTCTGAATCTTTGAATAAGAAGACTAAGGAAGGAGCATAATGCTATCCATGTATTCATGCATGGTGGGCGGAAAAGGCACCATAAAAACTCTCTAGGGTGGGGATCCTTGACAGTTCTGTTTGACGATTCATTTGACACATTTGAATTTGATTTGAAATTTTGTGGATTTATCAGTCTTTATGGAGCTTTCCCTATGGTTACAAACCATTAAATTCTACGTAAAAAGGTGCTTTGCAAATGTTTTCATAAAAATACAAAATTTTCCATAACAAAAAAGCTAAAGAGCTTTGTTAAAAATGCATATCTTTGAAAAACACCCTGTAACTCCGAAACGGTAACAGATATCGTTGGTCTTTACTATCATGTTTTTGATAAAAATTGAGCTCCAGACACCGATATTAGTTTTCGTCTATCTCCTATAGAAGATGGTGTTTCCCTTTAATTGACTTATGAATTTTTTGATTTTAGGTCAAAATGATTCATGTTCTCATCTTCGATCAGTCGAACTGTTTTTGGAATCCTTCAAACGAAAATCTCTGGCTCTTCAAGTAGAAGTACGAAAGGACGTGTTGATATACAGCCAAACTACCACGTTTGGATATTATTTGGAACCGGAAGCTAAGGGATCGTACATTATTTTGACCAATAAAACGCCACCATTCTTAAAGATACAGGAAGAAACAACAAAATGATATGTTGTGATATGTGTATTATACAACAAAAATAAAACTAAGCGATAATTAAGTTTAAATGGGCTGTTTTATCTACAGTATGTTTCCGAATTGTCTTTACAGGCGGGAAAAAACTTTTTAATTACTGTCATTTTAAAATAAAAACACTAAATCACCACAATACACTAAAACACTTTTACTTTTACATTGGACGCGCGTTTCGCTAACCATGTTAGCATCATCAGCAGATGATTATAAACTAAAGTACAATCTACAAGTTGAGCGTTTATATACTCGCTCAGTGGGCACCGAGTGGGCGTGGCAAAATCTAGCCAACCGAGTCAGAGCCCACTGAGCGTAACAGTTAGATTTCCGCCACTAGAGTAGTAGGAACAAAGAACTTGAAGGAATTGGACCGTTGTCTCTGTTCATACTATCTTTACATTTATTAATTCTGATGCTTTCATTTGCATCTCCAATTCCTTCAAGTTCTTTGTTCTTACTACTCTAGTGGCGGAAATCTAACTGTTACGCTCAGTGGGCTCTAACTCGGTTGGCTAGATTTTGCCACGCCCACTCGGTGCCCACTGAGCGAGTATATAAACGCTCAACTTGTAGATTGTACTTTAGTTTATAATCATCTGCTGATGATGCTAACATGGTTAGCGAAACGCGCGTCCAGTGTAAAAGTAAAAGTGTTTTGGTGTATTGTGGTGAATTAGTGTTTTTATTTTGCTGTGTAATACCAAAGGTTCCAACCCTCAACTGTAATATTGTCATTTTGAGAAAAATGCATTCTTCGTAAAAATTTTGCTTATACTAAAATACTTAATCTCGTCTATATTTTTCAAAATTTCCATACCGTTTTAGAGAAAATAAAAAAAAACATGAAAATATTATTGAATCCTAAAAATTAAAAGGCGTTTCTATTGTAACATCATAGATATATAGTTCAATAACAATCTATCAAGAATGAAATGGAAATGATGTTACCATAGAAACGTCTTTTGATTTTTAGGACCCAGGAAAAAATTTAACAATATTTCGTCCCATTGCTGCCAAAAGTCACTAACTTACTTTTTATTACTTCCGAGAAAAATGCGTCTGAAGATGAATTGCATTGCATAAAGATGTTATAGTTAGTAACTATTCAGTATTACAATAAAACATAAATAGCCAGAAATCGTAGTTAATGACTTTTGTAATCGATTCTCCGCTTCAAAACATAGTTAGTGATTGAATTTGGTTGTTCGGAAAAATGTTAGTTAGTGACTTTTGGCAGCAATGGGACGATTTCATGTTTTTTTTTAATTTTATTTAAAACGGTGTGGAAATTTGGAAAAGTAAAACGGGATTAACCATTTTATAACAAGCAAAAATTTTTATGAAGAATAAATTTTTCTCAAAATATCAATAATAAAAAATTATATCATAGATAAAGTTATAGACTGTTCAGCCATCGTTCACCGTTACGTCATCATTATATGTCAAATATGAGTCTTTAGGTGTGTCTGAGATCAGTTCATATGTTGTTACAGTTTGAAGTACGTTCCTATATTATTGATTGAGCGAGTTCCGTTTTTTTCGGTATTTATTGATTATTTTTTCTTGAACTCCTCATCAACTCATGATCTCTTTAGTTCCAAACCTTTGAACTGTTGAAATTCCTATTTCATAAGCATCAACAACCCGCTATATTACTTAAAAACACTAGCAATTTCTATTTTACTTAGGAATATTACACCTTTACATTGTACTTACTTTATATACGGCGTCCACGAGCCAATAGTGTTCTACCAGCGTCTCTTTCAATGTCTCTTTCTTGAGAAAAATAATTTTTAAGCTTGGCAATGAGCTCTTATTCATTTTGATTACATCTTTGAGGCATTCTTACAATAAAAAAAGTTGAATTTTGTTTGACAACAATCGATGTCCGTCAATAAAATTATAACGTCAAATCAATAAGTGACAATGACAATTACTAAAAAGAATATGCAGCTTTGAATAAGAAGACTAAGAAAGGAGCATATCAAAAATCTTAGGTACACCGCGATAGGCCTCAAATATGGCCGACTTAAATTCCGGTTTATCAGTGTCGTTCTAATTTTATTTAAAAAATGTAAAACTATGATGTAGGGTAAAAATATATAATTCTAATAAAAATAGATAAGTTGTAATAAGTATTTATTAACACAAACATCCGATACGCTACTGAAGCAGGTAAGTCAAATTAACGTATCTAAATTCTTTGACATCTAATCTTTGACAAGTAATAAATAAAAGCTAAAATGCAAGAAAAATAAATAATTTAGTTAATTTAAGTGAATTTCATAAATGATCGGTTTACTACACGTATGTATATTATATAGTCACTTACTAGCGAAAAGTTGTTCCATTATTTCACTCAATTTTTGCCGAGATCTACCGCACGCTACACAACCAACTATTTTAGAATCTTTTTCGATAAATCGCGATAGTGTCACTGTTAATTTAAGTTCTGCCACAATTTCTATCTAGATTTACTACCTTTATACAACTATCAGTAGTAGAATAAATAATAAATAACATAAAATAAGCTCCGTAAAGACTGACAAATCCACAAAATTTCAAATCAAATTCAAATGTGTCAAATGAATCGTCAAACAGAACTGTCAAGGATCCCCACCCTAGAGAGCTTTTATGGTGGCTTTTCCGCCCACCATGCATGAATACATGGATAGCATTATGCTCCTTCCTTAGTCTTCTTATTCAAAGGATGTCACCAATCTCTTTAATCTGGTTGTCAAGTGATTGAGAGAGTTTGACAATATATGACATGACGGTGAACGATGGTTGAACATTCTATAGTTATCTCGGATCTATCTTGTCTCGGATACTCGTTGCTCATAAGTGACGTCACAAGTGAAAAATTACAACTCGCTTTTTTCATTTTAAAGATAAAATTTGATGACAATTATATCCGCAAAACAAAGCAAAAGTTAAAATCGTAACACATATCTCTAGAATCTTTATACGGTCTCAGATATCGTAAGGCTTGGCGAATCTTCAAGTATTTGCGACTATGGCCGCGTTGTTTTTCTTTATCCGCACGCTATGAATAAAAAATGAGCGTCGTAATGGCTCAGCCGGGATTAGGTTTAGCCGGAAGGCAAGACGTACGGCCATATTTTCTTTATGCAAATGTAGTGCTTTACGCACACGAGTTTTTCCCTTCGCTGTGCCATAGGTCAGGCGAAAGAACAAATTTCACTACTAGAATACGCAAAAGAAGGTGTGTAGAAATTAGAATTATTTTTATAAAACATGTTGATAAGTTAAAAATATTACATAATCACAAAATCATCAGATACACTACTCTATCACTAGTGAAATTGGCGTATCATAATTATTTGTAAGAAAACATAATGAGTACATAGTTTTCCTTGATTTAAGAACAATTTTCGGATTATATTAATAGTTATTAATAGGACATTGTCTCCTCAATGAACACCTTAGCAGACTGAAGCTAAAAAACAACGGCGAATGCAAATTCTGTGGGGAAAATGGGGAAATACCAGAACACCTCATCACCGAGTGCGCCGAGACGTGATATAAGCTTTGGGACGATCGATGTTGGGGATGAAGAACTCTGTAAACCCGTCTCAAATACTGGCTTTTGTCAAAGGCCTGGACTGTATGATGAGTTACTCAAGAAAGAGGGACACAATAGAACAAAGTCGCGGTGATTAACTTCCTCCCTCTCTACAATATACAATCTAGCCTCCAGACTACCATGGATATTACAATTTATTAAAAAATTACAAAGTAATTATAATATAGAGTATAGGCTTCATACGCAGCGCTTCAACGGCAGAAATCAAAAATTATTAGTATGTATTTCAGACCGTCCCGGTTGCGTATTTCCATAATATACCATGTAGAGAACATAAGGTCTCTAAGCCCCGCCCACAAGCTTAGTTCAGCAGTAAAGATGTCTCTAACACGGTATAGAACGGAATGGGAAATGCGCCAAAATCGGGTATAGTTCGTAGACACATTACTGGCGTTACTTTTGATAGCATAAACAGTAATATTCGTTTGTGTAAAATAATACCGTATGGTAAAAAGCGGCATCAGCGATGGCTATGAAATGAAGATCGCTGTCATTTTATATATAAATTTATATGGGAAATGTCATCAATCGTTATTTTCCAGCCAACTGGAC